AAAAAAAGTGTCGATGGTAAAGAAAGGTGAATAGATCTAAAAAGTCTATAAAATCCGACTCTAGGAAGGCTCGAGGAGTCCTTTTTTATCACTTACAAATCACTTTTTCTAATTCATCATTAATGACAGTTCAATGATAAGAGGCGTTTTTTCATTGTCATTCAAAGAGAACAGTGACCTAAGTGACCGTACTTTTTTTTCTAGAAGAAAAAGGAATCACGTATGACGATTCGCTCATCATCAATCAAAGTGATCTCAGCGCTTCAAAAAGTGCTTTCTGCTCAGTGAAAATAAAAAGCATGCAAGTATCTGTGTGAAGGCAAGATCCGACTTGTGCGCTTTTTCACTTAATCGATCAACAAATCGCCAGAAGAAAACTCAGCTGAAGAACTTGATAAAAGTCAGGAATAAGCAGAAATTACAAACCGACATATATTAGAGCATTAAACAAGTGCTAATAAGGCATAAGTAAATATCATCTAGCGTAAATATACCCTGTTCTTGGACTCCACACTTTCCCTTGAACTGGCATCTGAGGCATCCCTGTCATCGGTGATGAAACACGTCCCATACCACCCTTCAAAAAATTATTACCTATCGCAACTTAGTGAAAATTCACCAATCCAAGCATACTAACTGCGGTAGGATGTTGTTGTCGAAGCAAGCTGAAAGCAGGAGGCACCACTGGCGGATTAGTCCTCGGCGCTGCCAGTGCTGATGCTCGAAATTCTGGCTCAGTAGGGAATGGTCGAGAAGGATCACCTGTAACAAATGAATGGCCATCGTACGGTAAATTAAGGAATCAACAAGTACTAAGACCTTTGAAATAAAACCAGTCAACTCTTTTTGTCAATCAAATTATTATCGTAGAGCTGTGGACGTGATAAAGAAGCTCTAGAGAGAAAGTGTTATAAGCTTTGTAATCATCCATTGCAAGAATCCAGAAATTATAGGTTCACTGCAAAGTTAACTGGTATCATCTTCAACAACACGGCCTAAAGAGAGCTTAGCCTTCGAGCGTCACCTAAAAACATGGCAATGTGCAAGTTACATCAACAAAACGTCATCGAGGAAGTATTGCATGGGATATCATCTTTCTAATCATGCGCTTGCCATTGCGTTCCTCACCAAAAACGCTCCATATTGCTGTTTCACGCCACTTTCAATTCATCATATGTATGTATCCACGATTGATGCTTTTCTATATGAGCTTTCTCAATATTCACTGTCCCAAACGAATGTTTCTCTTACCAAGAAATTGCTAAAATCAGAGGCAAATTTTTCTTACATTTGTGACATTTTATACGACGACATCAACGAAAACACGCGGAAGTATTTGATCGCACCTTGCTGCCAATATAACGGCGCAGAGACAGAGTAGTTTTTACTGATTTGATGAGCGAGACGTATGACAACTTCACTGTTCACTGGGTGCATCTCTGACTCTCGAACGGAGTGGATTTTATTGTTTGCCTATAAAAAACCTTTCAACTAGAACATTTATCTAAGGCTTGTTCAAAGTATAATAGGATAATATTAGATTATGGAGCAAATTGCAATTGGAAACATGGGAAAAGGACTTAAACTTTCAAAAAAATTTCCCACTCGTGCATCTGAAATTGTGAATCTCAATAGAGCAATGGTTGTATTGCAAAATTATTAGAGAGATTATGAAGGATC